CAGTATATCTCGCTTTTATACAGTAATCAATATGCTATTACAGAGGGTCTATTCCAGGATAAGGATTGTATATTTTTACAATAACAGTTATACTTTTAAAATTGGCAATTACACCATCAAAATTAAGTAAATATTATAAAATACCGAATGAATCTTGTTTGTAAGAACGTAACTGTTATGATATCAACTCAGTAGAACGTGAAAATAAATTGTCTCAAATGTTTTCTAACCTTTCAAAATACCAATACTTTTAGATATTTTATGGAATTACTTGTATCAGTTAGAATTGATTCAATAGTTAAACGTAAACATAAAATGTGGTTTCGAAAAATAAATTTTCAACGAAGGCAACAAATATCAACTATCTGTTTAAAAGAAACATTCAAAACTGAAAGAACTGCTTCTTCAATGACGTTTTAAACATTACAATCTCTACATTCAGAAATAACATATCTAATAAATTCAGCTAGATTGTCAGGCTTTTGAGCGCTTTTTTCAATAAGAAAGAGAATCTATTTCTTCAAAGCATTACAACATTCTGGATTATTATCGCTATTAGACGTTTCTTAGGTGCATTTTAGATTTTATCCTACTATACAAATTTTCGAAAATTGTTTCTAAAAAACACTTGTTTTCGTTATTAAATTTGCGCCTTAAAATAACCTGCAACGATTAAGACTGTGAAAATATCAATAATACACTGGGGTTTGAACGTGTGTAGTTACTCATTCACTGTACTAAAGGTACATCGATAATCATGCGAATGCTAGTTTCCTTATTAAGGCATTGATTCTAAAATCCTTTTCTCCCATATATTCCTAATGTTCGCCGTTTAAGCAACACAACTCATACTAACGCTTTTAATTTTTTAAAACTATAGTATTAATTGTAGCTGTTGTGAGGTCGTTTTTTATGAACAAATGATAACCTGATAATGCTCAATTTTTTTATTTTATTTTTTACTGCTCTCCAATATTTCGCCTGGTGGTTCCATCGAAACACAATTTCCACACGGTATTCAACAAATTTAGTGAGTCTCGGCATGGCCAGGTGGATAAGGCGCTCGACTCGCAATCTGAGGGTCGCGGGTTCGAATCCACGTCACACCAAACATGCTCGCCCTTTCAGCCGTGGGGGCGTTATAATGGTACGGGCAATCCCACTATTCGTTGGTAAAAGAGTAGCCCAAGAGTCGGCGGTGGGTGGTGGTGACTAGCTGCCTTCCCTCTAGTCTTACACTGCTAAATTAGGGACGGCTAGCGCAGATAGCCCTCGTGTAG